TGCCCACGCAGGACGTGAGCGAGATTGGGCGCAGAGCGTCGAGCTGAGGCTTCTTGCCTGGTTTCGGGATCAGGACCACTTTGGCCGTTTTCCACTGCCGTGGTAGCTGGCCTTGTCTCCAGCACTCGTTGATGTACTTCGTGATGCCGGTTATGGCTTCGTTGCTCAGGTTCCGCAGCATCTTGTTCGTGACGCCGTCCGGTCCCGGAGCAGACTTGGTCTTCAAGTTGCGCAGTGTCTCGGCAACTTCAAACTCAGAAATGTCAGCGTCCAGCACCTCGTCGTCTGCACCGCCATATGTCGTGGGTGTTCTCGGCGGGTTTTCGCCAATATATCGCTTACGGATCTCCTCTACTAGGTCGTACTCGTCACCCAGTAGAGGAGATCCGTAAGCGCATGCCCTCTCTCTCGTTTTACCCCGAAGAACCCGCTGAATTTCTTGGATGTATGCAGAGGGCGCTGCTGTCGAACAAAATGGTGCCGCCCAGAGAGCGCTAAATGGAATGGTCTATTGATAGCACGCAAAAGCAGACAGCGTCGGTGCATGCTACGAGTGTAGTTACACGTGTTGCACGTGCTGGCGTCTGCAGTAGTAACTGTTCTAAAGAAAAAATTCTAAACAAATTGTGCCTTGCACGCGCGTTCGTCAAAGCCTTATTATGATTATTTACTTCGAATATTTTATAAGAGGAAGGCCAACGCGCGCGGACCGTAGAATTACACTTCCAGCGTTCTCCTCGATGCTTGGGTAATTCAGAAAAAGGTCTGTTGGGACGCTGTCTGCTTTTGTTTGCTATCAATACCCGGCTGATTGAGTCAAGGCAATCCGCATTCCAAAGACGCAGCCATGCCGAGAATTATCACGTTCATTTAGGCTTAAGAATGACCAGAATCGAAAGACTATATGAAAAATGCGGCGAGGTCATTGCTCATGCTTTGCGATTTAAGTGAGGTAAGGCAACGCGAAAGCCTCCTGCACCATTCGTTGCTGACTAACGCGCCCGATATTGCAGCTACAACGATTTATTAGTTCTAAAGCCAGCGCCGCTCACTCACAGGGGCACCACCGATATTTCTCCGTATCCCTACCGAGCCAGTCACATGACTTCAAAATCCCTCTTCTAGGTACTGCGGCTAAGTTTAGCTGCGGTTAGCGCTTCGAGCAAACGGGCCCTGGTATTCCAAACAATTCTTAGCTGAAAAAACAGTTAGGGCGCAGGCGAGCTGGTGTAAGTTTACCATTTTTTAGACCACCTGAGACTGGGTGGAACAAACACGACGACGTCGTCATGTTTCTTCCACCCAGTCTCAGGTGGTCTGAAAAAATGGTAAAATTCTTATCTACAACTTCAGCAACCCAACACTCCTCAATACCAAATGAAATGTAATCATAACTCAGTAACGTTTTTGGATGAATTGCAACATTCAGATTAGTGACGTAACAAAACTACACGCCGAGAAAGTAAGGGAGAGAAGACGAGAGAGCGCAAGGACATCAGAACTAGAAATGTCGCGAACCGGCCGAGTTTCGAGTTCGACCAGGATCGACTTTTTCGAACATCTTGTGAAGAGTTCGACAAAGGTTCGACTCAGGTTCGACTGCTATGCGCATGGGCGACAGGCTGGCCAGTTGGCTTCAGACTGGATGAATTAAGGGCAGCACTGATTGGTTGTTTGAGTTAATAAAGTAGAAAAAATTAAGTTATTAACTTCTTCAGTAATTCTCCCAACCTAGACATGCTTGTATCAGGGTCTGGTCACACTGTCCACAAAGTCGAACCGCTCCGATCTGGATAAAAGTTCGAAGGTTGGTCCAACCGCTTCGAACCAGTGTAAACCCGAAAGTTCGACCTAAAAGTCCGGTTCGACAAAAGTTCGCGACACCCCTATTCAGAACGCCGAGCGCTGGTTAAAGGGTTAGGGTTGAACCTAAAAGCTACCTCCATCTGGTTTTCGCGCATGAGGAGCAGTGCCCACACCTGGCAAGGACAAACGCCAAAGTTTATAAACAGTCCTTTGCACCGGGAAAAGGGCGCGCGAGAGGGTCTTTCGCTGCCCCGAGGCGCTTCTGGCTACTAGAAAGAGGGGCGGACCGACGTCACGAGCAAGCCATGTATGCGGACAAAGCCCCAATTTAAAAGTATAAGTGGAACGTAAAAGAAACTATATACAACCCAGGTTTCACTTGTCACCTGGATGGAAGCTGTTCAATGGCATTTCGTCATCTTCACATAGACCGATCTCACCAGCCAGTTTGACTACGCCACCGCTCCTGCAATGCATCGAGGAAACTTTAGTATTTCTGCACGCGCGACAAGCTCGCTCTGCGACAACCCCGCTGGAGCTCCGCGTCTGTGGAGCACGAGACGACACGAGGCCTCGCGTACACGGTCGTCTGCCTCTTGTGAACTAAAGTTATGGCGGCGACACGCATGCGCCGAACGCCTAGTGAGATCGGTCTATTGACATGTTCGATATATTTAAAACAAAATCATGTTAGTATATGGTAGCATAAGCAATTTTGTTGTCTGCATTTTTAATTGCGCGGTACTTTCTGTGAATATTAGTATGCTTTGATGGCAGTTTCTTTCTCAGCTGTGTTGCAATGCACGCCCCGGGAATGCATATTCCTCAGGGATTTCCCTAGACCCCCCCTAGGGGGGCGGGGGGGGGGGGGGGGGGGGGGTAGGACCTCCCTTTGTTTTTCCGAAGGCACCCCCTTAATTCACGACTCCTATATTCGCAATGCCCCCCCCCCCCCCCCTTTTAACCCCCCAAAATAATTTAGACACCCCCCCTGATTTCAATTCCTGGGGAAACCCCTGATATTGCTGTTGGGTGGCACTAATAAACCCACTTAACACGAAGTCGTCTATTAGGCATCAAAATAAGTCTTGGCAAGACGCGATAGCATAGGACAACTTGAGTAATCTTGTAACCACCCTGTAGACTTTATAACGCTCCCTCTTTTTTTGGGCTATGTCTTGCAATGTATCTCCTAGCATCAGCTACAAGACGCCCAAGACGCGAGTAGTCTCTTTGAGATGTCTTTTAGACGTCTACATGAAGATACGTACCTTCTTGCGTAGCCCAAGACGTCTCTAGCTTAGTCGAGCCGTTTCAAGCTGGCCATGAGAAGTCTTGTGCCCAGTGGAAAACAAGCGTAACTTACCGTTTTAACTAAGGATGGGCGAAAGGGGGCTACATGCACCCCCCCCCCCTTCTTTTTTTTCCTTTTTTCAATCAGCCATTAGGGCTTTTTAAGAGGCACACATTCCTTCTTTTGGTTTTTAGGTGCCTAGTTCATGGCGAAATGGCCTATTCAGGAGAGCTTGCAAATCACGCCCCAAGTAATAGCAATCGCCAATGCTGCTTGGACTTTCGAAAAGGACGTAATCAGCGTGCGACGTTACATCTTTGAAACGGTGACATCGGAGCACGACTCAGCATGGGGAGGAGATCGCACAGTTTCGCCTCTAACGGCACACTTCATCTGTGGGGGACAACAAACCGAATATTTGTTTTTCATCAGCGACATTGAAAATGACAAATCGAAGGCCGCTCCTCGTGCGTTTGTGTCCAGACCGTGCATGACAAGGTTAAATTTCTTCGTTCTGTTAACACTTGGCTCTGGGGACAAGCGATGACAAGGAGCTCAAAGCGCCCCCTATAGTTCTATCTTTTGCCCAACAGGGAATTTTGACTTCAAGGTGGCAGCTAGGCTATACCAAGCTCTTCCACCACCTTAAAGGGGCCCTGCAAGGACTTTTTACTGTTTTTTAATTTGCACCGAACCGGAGCTTTTCTTTTCGCGAAATTCGCTTTATCTTAAAAGTTATAGGCAATTTAGAACTTCAAAAACAAGCAAAAAAATAACCTTCATGACGTCGTAGGTCCTGGCTTGAGTGGCCGTGAACTAGAGGAGGAATAGTGAGCTCATCGAGCGCTCACGGCCGCCGCACTCCGTGTCGACGGCGCCAGAGGGCGCCACTAATGCATATTCTGGATAGGCTGTATGCAGCGGGCAGCCAAAGCGGCTTTTATTGCGTTTGCTGCGCGATTAAACACTAATTCGACATGACACTTCATTGGCCACAAACGACAGCAGACACGGGGTAAAGATCAGTTCACAATGGGAACCACTTCGCGCTGCCATACCGCGAAACGGCCAAACCGCAAGACAAAGCCTCTCGCCGAAGGCCTTCGGAGCGCTCGGAGCCGGTCGGATCCTCCTGTCCATACGACTGCAGCGCCACCGCGTACATCCGGGATTTTTCCGTGTCGGCGCTTTATCCCACTACTCTTCTCTGGTATGCGCCGCCCTTTCCACCGCTTGGTGGCGGGTAAGTCGACGGGTCATTTCTTGTTTCCGTACTTTATAAACTGCATTTCTTTCTTTTTTTCATCTGTAATAGTGAACAAAAACTACTTCTATAAATAACTGAAACGGTTCGCGCCACTTATATTTTGTATTTCGACCAAAAAGGAGTTTTTAGTGTCTCTGACCAGTAGTAAGCCTAGGACCAAAGACGTCACATTTTGCGCGCTTTCGGTACCGCGGGTCGCCCTCGTCGGTGGAGGAGGTTTCCGTGTCGTCCGGTTAAAATATGGCGCACTGATATTTAGCTACTCTTTCCGTGCCCGCTGGCTTGTCTCAACCCCAAGAGACGTGGAAACCGCATAAAAGGTAGACGCTTAAATATGATTGCAGGGCCCCTTTAATGGAAGTGCTAAAAAGGACTGGTCTGCATCCGGATTTTCAAGGATGGCACTTTTCCACGGGAACAGAGTAAATGACTTCAAATTTTACAAGGCGAAATTCAAGACCAAAACATGCCTTTTGATGATAATGAGCCCACCTGTGCATAAGACCCGATTCCTCCAGCTAAGCCAACAGCCAGGTTGCAAATCAGTTAAAAGCTTTAGCAAAATTTCATATGAAGCAGAAAAAACTAATTAATAAGTATATGATCGCAGGGCATACAAAACTAACCACCAAAAAAGGTGAAGCATCGTTTATTGAAAAATCTCCGCTCAAGATACACCGCACTTCTGCCAGAAGCAATTTCCCACCTTTGCCATCATTTCTTCTCGCTCGTCTTTACATCTCTTGTCTGTTAAATCCACGCTACTTTCCTTGCCAAATAAAACCTCGCTTAGCAGTATTCCGAGTGCACTCACTTTGTCAGTAGTAAAGACGAGAATTCGAGGCTCACAACTAACCAAGGTATTGGATGATGAAGTCTTTCTCCAAAGACTGAAGGGAGGAAAAAGGCAAAAGGGGAGGGTATTTATTCTCCAAGCTCAAAAAGTCCTGCACTACAAATCCTCGGCAATCTGTTGGTCAGCGATGAGAGGCTATCAAAGGCTCGAAAAGAAAATATGTCAAAGTAGACCTACTCCCGAACCCCGCCCTTTTGACGATGGAAACTCCGGAAAAATTCATGGAATGTTACTTTCATCCAAGTCACAAAAGGAAACTGGAGTTCAAAAGGGTATAGATGTAACAGCCTCAAAAACGTCAATTCATTGCTCTAGCTACAAAAAAAAGGCAGGTTAAAAAAAGATAGCACAGCATTTAATAAATTATTAATGAAAAAAGAAATGCTAAAAGGTTGCATGACAAAACTGACTTCGTAGGAAATTCGTTGAGGTCTCAAACCGCCAGATCGAGCCTCCTTCCAAGAAATGCAAGGTGCGACACCATTGGAAGTTCGCAGTTGCGAAAACCTTAATCTTGGGTCCCTACGTACTGTCACAAGACTAAGGGCGCAAGAAAATATCCACCGGGTTGTAAACATACTCAAGCAGAAAAGGAGATGTGAGAAGGGTCAGCTTGCGGTCTTAGTCGCCTTCCAAAAGTACACACACAGAAACAGAGGTCTTAAAAAACTTTCTTTAGTAAAACAAGTCTTCAACCTAACACAGAAAAAAAAATTGCAGACAAAGATAGAGGAGGGAGTGAAAGAGGGGGGAACAACAAATGCGGAATAGATGTGCAAGACGGCAAACGGAAAAGATTACACAAATTCAATGCGTCCCAAAAAACAGCCCAACACTTTCTGCCCAATGCTCTACTTAACACCACCACAAAAAAAAAAAAAAGTGTATGCAGCAGGTTTAAGTGTAACTTGGGACCATTTCCTCAAAACTTCTGCGCTGTATATATGTATATATATATATATATATAACTTGAATTATCTCTATGTACGGATCACAACTCAACACCCCCCGCCAACTGTTCCAGCTATCAATTTTTTTTTTCTTCACTCCAATTCCATGTGCAAAAAAAAAAGTGCCAAGCCATGGTACTTTTCGCTGCCGTACTCGGCAAAACAAGTTCTTAAATGTGAACGAAGAAACATTAAGATTATTTGAAGCTACAACCTCAAAGATATGCAAGGGAAAACAAGTTTCAGTCACGCAATCTGGACCTTTTAGCCTACTTCCACGAAACATGAAAAAGGAGGGAAAAAGGCTCTCTGCTTCCGGTTTTGTAGCGTGTGTGTATGTGTATATATATAGAATAGACCACCTCAAGGTTGTTGTCTTAGTTTCCTGGTGAGAAGGCAGAGGGGGGACCACAACAAAGTGTCAAAGGAGGTTGGTAGACAGAGCAAAAAGAAAATGAAGTGGGTAAAAAAAATCATATATACTGTTTTTTTTTTCACTCTTCTCGCAGTTAATTACAGGGTGGTAGGAGCACGCGTTGCAATCGCCGAACGCTGCAGCTGCTTGCCTCCGCTTTTCTTCTCGTCGCACCAGAATATTTTTCCTTCCCCCAAAAACGCAGCTTGTTCACTTTGACGTCATCATTGTTACAAACTCTGAAAAGAGAAAAACGTAACGGTTAGAAAAGTGAAAAGGTGATCACCCATCAATTACAGATATGGTGCAATCCTTCCAATTGCACAGTGCAACAAATTTTTCTCCACTGGCAACTTCATTTTGAGATTTGCCCACTCAAAGAACACTCAATTCGAAGGTCGGTGGTGGACGCCGTAACAAATTCTAGCTGCTTGAGAATCCAATTTAGCAAACAAAAGCTGGATCAATCAAAATATTCCGTGCCCCCAATTGCATTGCCGATCAAGAAATCGCATCATGGGGTAAACAAAGGCACAAATGCGTAACAAAGCAATCCCGACCAAGCATGTTAAAGAAATGGGAACCATGTGCGAACACACTTCTATAAAACAGTGTCAAACTTCTGAACACGAACACAAAAAAATTACTTTTGCTTGGTTATGTTGAAATGACACTAAAACCAACTAAGCCGTGCTGCATCAGGTCCGTTGGTGCAATTGGCATTGAACAATGTCGTGGAGCCGCAAACCTAGATCGGACTGGAATCTGGTGGTTAAACCCATATATGTTGCCACAGTTGCCAAAGAAAAATGAAAGCTCTAAAAAGAAAGAAAACAAATCTGCAATTTGTTTACAAATGAACAATTTGGCACTTTTTTTAAGGTACAGCAAAATGCAGGCAAGTAGAACCTTATAAAAAAAAGGCTCAACTGGGCACCCCTGCATTCAGCTTCAACGGCATTGAATACATCTTTGAGGGCTATGCACTAAATGCCCATGGCAGCGCATTCAACGCCCATGGCAGCGCATTCAACGCCCACGGCAGCGCATTCAACGCCCACGGCAGCGCATTCAACGCCCACGGCAGCGCATTCAACGCCCACGGCAGCGCATTACACTTCACGGCAGCGCATTACACTTCACGGCAGCGCATTACACTTCACGGCAGCGCATTACACTTCACGGCAGCGCATTACACTTCACGGCAGCGCATTCGACGCGACGGCAGCGCATTCGACGCGACGGCAGCGCATTCGACGCGACGGCAGCGCATTCGACGCGACGGCAGCGCATTCGACGCGACGGCAGCGCATTCGACGCGACGGCAGCGCATTCGACGCGACGGCAGCGCATTCGACGCGACGGCAGCGCATTCGACGCGACGGCAGCGCATTCGACGCGACGGCAGCGCATTCAACTTCTTGGCAGCGCATTCAACTTCTTGGCAGCGCATTCAACTTCTTGGCAGCGCATTCAACTTCTTGGCAGCGCATTCAACTTCTTGGCAGCGCATTCAACTTCTTGGCAGCGCATTCAACTTCTTGGCAGCGCATTCAACTTCTTGGCAGCGCATTCAACTTCTTGGCAGCACATTCAACTTCGAGGGCGGTGCATTAAAGTTTAAGGGCTTGTTCATTAAAGGGATGGTGAACCGTAATTTTGATTTAAAAAAACAATGCTGGAGATGTAGGCGGGACACTACAATCCCTACAACACTACTAGTAAGGCAATATCTCGAATAGACTGCCGTATTTTTGAAAAAAGTAGTTGAGATTGAACCAGGCCGACGAGGCGCGTGACCGTCAAGATACCTAGCTTCCTCCTCTCTTCGCTTCGATGCCTCAAGGCCGCGAGGCGGAGAAGATGCGAGGCCTTTCCCTCTCCTTCTCTGAGAAACATGAAGTCAACGTTCCTGCCAAATGCGCCTCCTTTTTTGAAAAATACAGTCATCCATTCGAGATATCGCTGTACGAGTGCTGTTTTGGTGTTTGTAGCATCCAGTTTCACGCTTTTGCTTCGTGTTTTGGGGAATCCAGATTTCGGTTCAGGATTTCTTTAAAGGTATACTAAAGACGCTCGAGACTGCCTGTTCTTGGTAACTACTCATTCTATGGAATCTTAGCATCCCAGAAATCGAACAATCTCATGCGACGTCCATTTCCCTACTAAAAATGTGATGCAAGTTTGTGCCAAGCCCCTTTCCGAGCGAAAAAAATCTGGAGCAGACTTTAAGCGGAGGCGCCGGCGGTGTGACAAAGCGCACGTGTCAGCCAATCACAAGCGGAGTCATTTTTCCACTCGGAAAGGGGCATGGGACACTTTGATCCCATTTTTAGTAGTGAAATAGATATCGCACACTCATAACTATTGTATTTCTAGAATGCTTGGAGCCCATAAGATATCGCCAAGAACAGTTGATCTCAGAAACGTCTTTAGTTTTGTGCATCTTTAAGCTCTCAGGGCAAAGCATTAAAATCTCAGGGCAAAGCATTAAAATCTCAGGGCAAAGCATTAAAAGCTCTCAGGACGGCGTTCTGAACTGTCAGGGCAGTACGTGCTACCCTCGGGGCAGTACGTGCAACCCTCGGGGCAGTACGTGCAACCCTCGGGGCAGTACGTGCAACCCTCGGGGCAGTACGTGCAACCCTCGGGGCAGTACGTGCAACCCTCGGGGCAGTACGTGCAACCCTCGGGGCAGTACGTGCAACCCTCGGGGCAGTACGTGCAACCCTCGGGGCAGTACGTGCAACCCTCGGGGCAGTACGTGCAACCCTCGGGGCAGTACGTGCAACCCTCGGGGCAGTACGTGCAACCCTCGGGGCAGTACGTGCAACCCTCGGGGCAGTACGTGCAACCCTCGGGGCAGTACGTGCAACCCTCGGGGCAGTACGTGCAACCCTCGGGGCAGTACGTGCAACCCTCGGGGCAGTACGTGCAACCCTCGGGGCAGTACGTGCAACCCTCGGGGCAGTACGTGCAACCCTCGGGGCAGTACGTGCAACCCTCGGGGCAGTACGTGCAACCCTCGGGGCAGTACGTGCAACCCTCGGGGCAGTACGTGCAACCCTCGGGGCAGTACGTGCAACCCTCGGGGCAGTACGTGCAACCCTCGGGGCAGTACGTGCAACCCTCGGGGCAGTACGTGCAACCCTCGGGGCAGTACGTGCAACCCTCAGGGCAGTACGTGCAACCCTCAGGGCAGTACGTGCAACCCTCAGGGCAGTACGTGCAACCCTCAGGGCAGTACGTGCAACCCTCATGGCAGTACGTGCAACCCTCAGGGCAGTATGTGCAACCCTCAGGGCAGTATGTGCAACCCTCAGGGCAGTATGTGCAACCCTCAGGGCAGTATGTGCAACCCTCAGGGCAGTACGTGCAACTCTAAGGGCAGTATGTGCAACTCTCAGGGCAAACTAACTTGGAACTAAAGCAGAGACCTTTTCTGCAGCAATCTCATTTAAGCAAAATTTGTAAATACAGTAAAACCTCGTTATAACAAAGTTGAAGGAGCAGTCGTAATTATTTCGTTATAACCATTAGTTTGTTATAGCCCATGTCCATTTCTTCCCACTATTAGCAAGCAAGGGGAATTATGATTGCTTTGTTATATCCATTAGTTTGTTATATCCCGTTTTGTTATAACGAGGTTTTACTGTAAAACAAAAGCCCCAAAGAACTGGTCGCATAAGCCTGTGAAAATCTGCACAGAAACAGCCACAAGGAGGATAAACTGTGCTACCTGCAACTGGAAGCAATCCTTTAAACTGAATCCAGGTAATGATATGTGCCATCCAACCAGGGTTCTCCACACCACATTGTCAGGCCAGGTGATGTTTACGCACCGCGGCACCCCCATTTGCTATACACTTTCCTTACACTCCTGAACCTACTTTTCCATCATTTGGGCAAATTTTTACACTACCAGAAAAATCACCCAAATGTGAATAATGACTACACACCGAGTGGTTGACAAATGTAATTTGCAAGTTTATCACTTATGAAAGGATGAACATTAAAACAACTTTGGTCGGAGACGCCACAAGATACACGAGCTTTATGAATCAAAGCTTGTAGAGTTTCGGATTATTTTCAAACCACAGTCAAAAAAAGCTGCTTAGGCTGAAGAGCGAGGAGCACACAGAACAAAAAAAGTTTCCCAGTAATAGTGAGGGTTGGCTGCCAAAGCAACACAGCCTTGCTGCTGTGAGCATATTATGTAGGCCTTAAAAACGACGAAAAAGCTGAATTCCAGCCTGGACAAAATGCATTGCACACGTTTCTTGTATAGACCATTTTGCCAGCCAGTTTCGGCACATCAAGTGAACCTTAGTTTTTCTGCCAGAGCCACAACCTTGCTATGGTTCTGTGCAAACGAAGCACAGCGTGGCACGAGCAGTCCCAGGCACCGCCATCACTTAGATACAAAGTAAAGCTATGGGTGGCATCATGCATGCGTAGAACGCTTGGTGAAATTGATCTATTCTACTGGTACAAAAAAAAAGCATTACATTCAGAGTCACCTTGCTAACCATCATGCACAGCCTTCTCGCAGCATTCCGTCGAGGTTGGCTCGTCTCATCACCCTAACATCCAACAGTCCGAGGCAGAATGACTATATTCTGCTCACCGCTTATCTGAACGGGCAGTAGAAGCTACGTGTTCATTGGACCAGTCATCCAACAATCTTTCTCCGCATCTGCCTTCGTCTGCACTCGCGTGCACAGCGAGGTCAAGCGACGAAAGGCAGGTGGTCAATTGGTCTGGAAAGTTTGCAGCTCCCGTGGCCCTGTGAGCTTTGGAGTGACGATGGCCTCTTTTCTCAGCTGTTACACTATAATTCTGCTCCACCCGGTTTGAACCGTCAACGTTGCAGCTGCCAGCAGGCGTCGGCAAGTCTGTTTTAGTGGCTTATGTGCCCAACAAACGTCTGGCATCAAGACCGCCCCGGGATTGATGCGCAATGGTGCAACCCAAAACTCTGTTGCCTAACAGCTTCAAGTTGTCAAAGCAAGAAATGGTTGAATGGCAAGACCATTCAAGCTTGAGCTTGGGTCACCATAAACCACACTGCAGCCCTACTCCTCTCAATGAGACTCCTCCATGTCAATTCAGTAAAGAACTGTCCAACACCATGATGCGTCTCGGTGTCAACTCTTGTGCCGTTACGTTGCTGCTATTGACATGAGCAAGGTATCATCAGAACTTCATCTCAGTGCAGATAAAACACACAGCACACCCA